AGCAAACGACATGTAAACAAAACAGTACTTTTTTTTTTAAACTTTACCATACCCAAAGCAAGGTTTTCTACTGAACTGAATTCTTCTCCAAGGTAGGTTAAATAAAACCAACAGTTTTGATCATAATATACAGAACCGTATTTGAGAAAGCGTATGTAGCAATATAGTCTTCAAATTCCATATTAAGGATACACACTTTAATTGTATAGTGATAAATTAAAGTTCATTTATTCACCTCAGCTGTGCACCCAATATTGTTAGGTAAGGAACTCTTCTAGGAATTGCTTCTACTTATCTAGAAGGAGAAAGTCTGAGTTTTCCCAAGCAAGACCATTTCAAACATCCCACGACCCTCTCTGCTCTTGGTGTGCTAACCCCTACTGCCATACTATCTACTCTCAAGAGTGGCAGAGTAGCTCATTCACTTGCTCTTGGGAAATCCCCTCACCAAATGTACTTTCCACCCCTTGCCACCAACAGTCACACCAATTCACTATGATTATTCCTTCACTGTGGTAGCCTTATTTTCTGCTAGTTTTTTCCTCCATAGTATTAACTTACTCAAGCAAATCTCATTAAAAATAACCACAACAACACATAATAACTCTTGTTGACTACACACCCTCCACTAAAGCCACTCCTGTTCTTCAAAGTAGTTTATACTATTTACATTTCCTATTCCAAAAACCCAACCAAGCTGGCTTCCACCACTACATGAAGCCTATTCAATCTAAACTGATCCCTTTGCAGCACTCAGCACTGTTAACCATCCTGCCTTTAAGCTTCTCTTTATCTGGCTTCAGAGACAACTGTCCAGGTTTTCCTGTTACTTCTCTTGTCAATCTTTAGATTTCTTCCAAGGTCTTCTTTATTTACCAGTCCTTTAAATGTTGGCATGCCCTCGAGATGCTGTCACTGGCTTTCTCTTCTCACTCCATACGTGCAGGCACTGGAAAGTCTACCCATATTTATGGTTGCAAATCCCATGCCTACTGTGATTTCCTCAAATATCTCCACTCCAAGTCTTATGCTCAAGTTCCACACCAAAACACCACTACCTACGGAAAGTCTCCTCTTGGTATTTCACATCTGACATGTCTTAAAACAATTCCTCTTCTACTTCTTCCATCTGTGACCTCTTCTCCAGCTTAGTGACAGGAGTTAAGAACCTGGAAAACATGCCTTCCCTGCTCTTTCCCTCTTACTTCCCACTGCTGATCAGTCACAAAATCCTATCAGTTTTACTCCTAACTCTCTGGATTCTCCCTCCTCTTTTAGGATCAGAAATGAGATTTCAGCACTACCTAAGTTTCTAGTCTCTTGACATTCCTTGAAGGGCTGTCCATCCCAACAGCCCATGTTGATACTTAATTTCTCAACATGTCCTGTTGGATAGAACTGATAATGAGGGTTGTCCCATAGACTGCATATTCACAAAGTGACATCAGTCAAAAGAGAAACAAAGTTTTCCAATTCCTTTGAATTCTCCAAATATTCTCACTTGTTAGTGAAGTTTACACAATTGCCTTTTACTGTTTTAAATTAAAAAAAAAATTGGAGAATGTTACCTTTGCAAAGCACTTCAGCACTAGGGAATACCATTTACAAAGCACATTGATTTGGAAAAACCAGAAATGTTTCAGTTGATTGATTAATAAGCACTTTACCCAAAACTCTAATGACTACAATCAGTTCTTATCAGATAGATGACTGCCCGACCCAACCTGCCAAGATCCATGTACAGTAAATAACAACACCCCACATCACCTTGCATTCCTCAGTTGTAAATCTTTAGGCAACAATATTCTAAGGTGGAAATCTCTTCCCTGTGGAGAACAGTAAAAAAACAGTTCACTGAAATTTTCATCTTTCACTTAATGTTAAGTTAAAGAGAATCACGTAGAAAAGGCAATGTTTTCATTTACTTTCTAAAAGGTATCAACTTTACCCAAATATTTGATAAAATATAAGCAGCAGAATATTGCATTTAGGGGAAAATAACTCAAAAATGTCAGAAACTTTGTAATTATTGGGTAATCAAAACACGAAGACAGGACTGTTTTTAAAGAGAAATTCATTCACATAAACACAAGAAATACTAAGAAATGGTTAATGTAGATGTAAAGAAGAAATTTAAATGTTATTTCTTAGGAAATAAATTTATGAAAAAGGTAACTCCATCAAACTGCTTTGATATGGAAAAAATAATGTAAAATGAGAATATACAATACATTATAGGCTTCATATCTAATTTTCCAGATTTTAATAAAATGTAAATATATTTAAATAATCTAAATACAGACATGAGAGAAATATTTTCATAAATCAATGTATTTAATTCTCCCACATTCAGACCTTTAATAAATAAAATCACTAAAATATTGTTACTTAAATTACTTATTTTAACTTAAATATTTACTAGCTATAAGTTTGAAAATACCAAGTTTTACTCAAGAGTCTTTCTAAGGAGAAAAGGACAGTTCTCTGAGAAATATTTTCAATTTTACTTCCTTGAGAAAGTGAATGGGTAAGCAGCTTAAACTTTGTAACTTAAATAGGATAATACACATGAAATCTGAGCAAAGGTAAGCAGAAAAAGACAAACAGAAATATAATCTTTTACTCCAACAGTATAAAATGAAAAAGAGTAATAAAATTCTTGAAAAACAATTACCACGAGAATTTTAGCAGACTCCCTCAAAGCAGTTTCAAAAATAGAGGAACACAATTAAATGTACCCCATAACCTTTACTTTCATGGTAATATTGCAGTTTTGACTTTCATTACATTTAAATGTCCTTTAAAAAAATGAAACAAAATGTACTACTGACCTTTTCAAAAGGTCAAGTAACAATAATTCACTATTTCATTAAAGCACCAAAAGGTATGATGTAGTAACTTTAACCTAACTTTACAGACATCCCACACATAGGTGTAAGAACAATCTGGAATTCAAAATTTACATGAAAAATAGTAAAACGACTCTGCTGATCTGTTACGTGAAAGAATAAAATTCGAAAGCCCCTTATTTGCAAAATCCAGCCATTTTAAAAGGTCAAATGCCATGTCATGTGCCATAATACTTTTCTGATTCAAGAAAATGTCCAAAATTATCTTTTTTAGTTAAAGCATAGAAAAAATGTTAATTGCTCTCATGAAGCAGATTTTCCAGGCTTACAGAGAACAAAAGTACTGACAGTTGCCTAAACCTGAACCTCTCTACATATCGTCCCAGAAAACGATATACATCAAAATTAAGAACAAATTTCACCACAAAAATCCCATGTCTTAGGCAGAATGAAAAGAAAGAATACTATAAAACTTCAAAATTACCTGTAAGAAGAAAAATATAAACCACTTTTCAGTGATTTCCACTCTCGGGCTCCCACATCAAGTCCTTTTAGAGAGCTACGTGATTCAGAAAAAAATGCACAGAAGACAGAAGAGGGGATTGGACTATGTGCAAAAAGTAATAATAAACACTTCTGGCAGATCAGAGCACTGACTACAGGGAGAGAACTTAATATGAACACAAAAGTCAAGGAGCTCATTTTGGAAAAGAAATGCAGTAGAAGATGGTAAAAGGCAGGTAGAGATAGTCTTTGGAAACTGGATGTTAGGAAAAAGAGTGGGAAATTTAGATCTTATATAAGAAAATTAAAAGACTCAAGCTTTCCTTCAGCACTACCAAAAAATTTATCCACTAAATAAACTGCACTTTGCTTCAGTGACAAAAGAGGGTATTCTTGAAAGAGGAATTTAATAAACTATTGCAAAAAGCCACTGTTCACAAACACAAAGATAGTGTCTTCATCAATACCAAGCTTCTATCAGACAAAAACAGTACAAATAAGAGAATCAAAACATTTCAGGTGATGATAATCTCCCATGCAAACAAAAACCACAAGATATAAAAAAACTACAATTCTGAATTATATATTATTTGGTGAGTATTTGCATTGAGATTCAGAAATTTTAAAACTAAGAACAGAAATTAAATAAAAAGAAAAAGAAAAAATATTAAAATATAAAGATAAGTTAAAATAGGCACTCAGAGAGAGTAAAATAAAAACTTCCTAAGAGATAAAAAGGGCAAGTAAATCACCAAATGAGAAAAAAAAAAGGCAATCTAAGAAAAGCAACTGAAGTGGAAACCAAGTCCCCCAAAATCCAATATACAAATAACTGGAGACCTTGAAAAAGAAAATGAAATAGTAGGAAATACTTTAAGTTATAATCCAAGTATACTTTCTGGAAATTCACATACTAAAAATGACAACTGGACACATGAGAAAAGTGACTCATAATTACCCACTCTTGAGAAAAAGAACAAATAATATACGGGAAAAGGAAAAATACTGGCATTATACATCGTAAAGAGTTTTTTAAAAAAGCAACCATGGACTAGAACTTTCAAGAATCTGAGTGCAAATACTCACTAAGTAATATATAATTCAGTATTCCTTCTAAGAAACTGAAAGGTAACTACTGCTTTTAGCCATGATGGAACAACAGGCAAGGATTTACCTTCCCACATTAACTAAAAAATTGGACAAAATATATAAAACGATTTTCAGACATCAAACAACAGGCAGCATAGGACAGTGATCCTTGAAAGAAGGGAAACAAATGAGAAAAATCTCTGTAATTGAGAATCTCTGTAATTGAGAATAGAGAATTTTTAGGCTGTATAGCAAAGATGGAGAACCAAATAGAGCCTAACATTTTCTCTGATTTGAGAAGACTGGGGTGGGTTAGGGCAGGCCAAAGTTTACAGAATTCAATTAACTGACTCAAGTATTAACTGACTCAAACAAGGGGGGGGGGGCAGTGTATGTGTGTGAAAGTCTGATGCCTCAGAGTAGCTCCCTGAAAGTACTTAACAATTACAAGAGGAAAATCTGGCAGATGCCACCTTAAGTAGGTGATCAGAGGTACATCACCAATAATGAGACCCACTGAAATTATGTTGTGTCCTGAAAAGGACACAACATTCTTTCTGCAGTATCTCTGCCAAAAATTGCATAATTTGAATTCAATGATGAGGAAACATCAGTCAAATCTAAATTAAGGGGCAGTCTACCTAATGACCAACCTGTACCCAAAAAATATCAGGTTTATGGAAAAAAAAAACTATCCACGTTAAAGAGACAACAAAAATATAATGTTGTATCAGATGGTAGGGGGCTTGGAAGGGGTATAAAACACGTAATTACAACATTAACAAAAGTTGAATTTGGACTCCAGATTAGGCAATGGTATTGTATCACGATTAAATTTCTTGATTTTCTTAATTGTAGTGTGATTATGCATGAGTGTGCCCTGTTCTCATAAAACATACACTGAAGTATTTAGGAATAAAGGCACACTGTCTATAATTTAATCTGGAACTGTTCAGGGCAATAATGTGGGTACACACCCACTCACATACACACACTCAGAATAGAAATCAAATGGGGCAAATGTAAAATGGTGTATCTTGTTGAAGAGTACATTCAAATTCTTCCTACATCCTTGCTATTTTTGTTAGTTTGAAATTACACACACGCAAACATTTTTTGAAAGCTAGCTCCACCAAACAAAACAACGTTAAATCAAGTGTTTAGTTTAAGATTTCAATAAGCCACTTAGCAGGTACAAATTAGAATTGTAGCAAAGCAAGGGTCATAAGAAAATGTCACCTAATCTCAATTCTGATGGCTACGTATGTTTTCTAAGAGGCTTTAGCAGATACTGACACATATAATACAAAATACTTTCTTAAAACGCCTGTAAGTAGGTAAAAATGCTGGACAAAAATGTAATTTAGTAATCTCTCTTCAATTTTTCTAAATGTTGTTAAAGTTTTCAAGTATGTAGCTTAAGACCAATACTTCCAATTGGGGAAGGAAATGGTGGATTAACTTTTCTCCAGAAAGTAACAATAAATTATAACGTATACTTTCTGTGATGGTCACAATGAATTTGAAGGCAAATGAATCTCTAAAATATGGCCCCTCATCCTCATAAGCCTGAGTTTAGGGGAGTCTGTTGCGATCATGGACAAGAAATCTAATCTCTCCTCTTTCTCGTGTCTTGATTTACTCAACTATAAAGTGAGAATACAGACTTAAATTTCTTTTTCTGCCTCAACCTGAGAATTAAGCGAGATACTGTACTCGGAAAGCAGTTTGTACATTTCAAAGCCACAGTTTACCGTGTGTAATATACTCCACAAGAGAGGCCACTTGGAATCAGCAAACGTAATTAACCCGGTTGTCAAGATTTACTACAAAATATCGCAACTGGATGTGCTCGGGTACCAACGACTCGGTACAGCCAAAATGAGGTTTTCCTCCAAAATGTCCTTTCTACAGGACACACGAATATAACGGGCAGAGATTCCCCCGTGAACGGTCTCCAAACTTCACGGGGGTGGGGAACGTTAGAACAGAGGAAACCAAAAGATTGACTTAGGGGAAAAAAAGTTTA